CAGGGCACCCGTCAATCATCCTTATAATCCAAACCTTAACGTGAGGAAACAAACCATAACTTCATAAGAAAATGCAACAACAAAAAAGAGAAAAAAATAGCATAGACTTAAACTTCAGTGGACCCTCTCAACAAATGCAGAGTAAGAAAGGAAATAACTGTAAAATAAGAAATGAGGGGAAAAAGTGAAATCTTTGTCGGTTATGAAAATATTGCTAAATGAAACCAAAAAATGTCTATAAAGAATGATAACAATTAACAGGAAAGGAGTGAAATAATTTTTATTACAGGAATCGGTAGTCAAACATTATACTCTCTCTTTCTACAATTTTTACAAATATTGCAATGACCAAAATAGTAAGAAAACTGACAATTGTCTCCGCCAAAAAAAAAAACAATTTAAAAAAAAGTGAACATTTATTGCTTTTCAACCAGGATTTCTTTCCACAATTTGTCTCTTTGTTAGAAGCCCACCAACACAATAACGGTCATTTAGTGCTGGGGAAAAGTAAGAAATGAAACAACAGAGGGACAGCAAAGAAGTAGAACCCATCAGGGGCACAAGCCATGTGGGGAACAAAAACACTCAGGATAAACTAAACAACATTGACAATGTTAGACTATCAGATTGCTATGTATTATCAATATGGATGGGAAACAATAAATCCTGGACTGTTGATCTCTTAGTTAATCACCAGAATTAATTTGAATTATTTCTCTGTAACTGTACCTAATTGTACTTTTTATTTTATCTAAACTCACACTTCCTTCCTTCCTGTTTTACAACATGTGATCATTCTTGTCTGTGGGGCCAGACTTTAAGTCATTATTTCATATGTGTTGAATAAATCAACCTACATCAAGACAAAGAGTCTTTATTTTATTTTGCCTACTTGGTGGTTATTAACACCCTAACATCCCCATTGAGACCAAAGCTAAGCTCATTAAAACTCTATCTTCATCCCCATCTTGACCTACCAGTGCCAGACAAGGACCCTGACCAAAAGTCTGGAACGTAAGATAACCATCTACGAGTCGAGATGTCTAAGGTGAGCCGTCAACAAAACCAGACGGGACATGGTCAGAAATAACAAGATCAGAGAAATGGTGGGAACAACACCTGTCCTCCACTACATTCGAAGGCAAACAATCAGGTGTTTGGACATCTGACACGTATTCCACCTAACCAGCCTGCCAATAAAGCCTACTACAGGAAAGTATCAGGGTACAAAGCAAGAGGAAGATCAAGAAAAACGTGGACCCAGGGTGTGAAGGATACCATGAGAAAATACAATATCCCACCCAGCCAGGCCATCAGACTTGCTAGAGACAGGAAGCTCTTTCTCCCCTCGACGCCCTAGAGGTACAAGAGGATGAAAAAAGTAAAAAAAACAAAAAGTAGTAAAGTAAGTAGGTGGTTATTAAAAACAGACAAAACAGGATGGGAATGACATACGCAGCGTAGACCAGAATGACATCGTCGTCGTCGATCTTTGCAATGGCAAACTCAGCCACGCCCTTCGCCGCCATGACCAGGTTCACATGAATGAAACTCTCAATCTCCTCTTGGAGTCTGGCGATGGCCTGAAATAGAGGGGGGGGGGGGGGTTCAGTTGCAACACAATAAGGTCACATAAGTGCTGAAGATTAGAGGTGCTACAAGGGAGTAACAAACATAAAAAGGAGGAGGAGAGATAAAGACGATAGTTGTTTGATAGGAAAGAAGGAGCAAACCACACCAGAGTACCCGCCAACCACCCACTGAAATAGAGTATGAGGCTCAGTAAAAATAAGCCTTTTGCAATATTATCGGAATACTGTTAATGCATCTAGCTTGAACATCATTATTATCAATAATTATTAGTTTTTATTGTATGCATAGGACTTTGGGTGTATTTGATTTATAACTGTATGCATAACACTATCATGTGCATGAGTACACATGTGTGTGTGTGTGGAAGAAAGAGCATGTGAGAGAATAAGGGTGTATGAGTGTATGTCTGTGTGTGAGTGTGTGTGTGTGTGTGTGTGTTTGTGTGTGTGTAAAAGTGTGTGTGTGTGTGTGTGAATGCGTGTTGTGAAATATAAAATCATGTGTGCCAGTGTCTTGACAATAACGATTAATCTTATCTAATCAGCAATATACAGAGGACAGTGCTGGGTTATAGAAAGACAGGCACAGGCAGAATCTCATTGCCCAACAAATGGCAGAAAGTTTAGAATTTCATTTTCAAACAACTGAACAGAAAATTAAGATTTTCATGCTTCAATGACTACAATTAATCACAGTCAATTTTATGGTCCCCCTCCCACCCCCACAAAGAAAAAAAAAAAAGAAAAAAGAAAAGGAAAAAGAAAGTGTACAATTTCATTGTGGCGTCGGTGGCCTAGAGGTTAGGCTCTCGGACTCGTAACCGTAAGGTCGTGGGTTCGAATTCTGCCAGGAGCCCAACAGTGTGTCATTGGGAAAAACACTTTACACGAATTTTCCTCACTTCACCCAGGTGGGAATGGGTACCCAGCTATAGACAACGAAAGATCTTGTCAGTTTGTTAGTGTTTGAGCGCTTCATCAGCTGCTTGCACTGTATGCTTCCCGGGAAGCTGAGAATGTTTCGGAGTGTTCTATGGTCTGCTAGGGTAGTAATATAGTGTAAAGCGCATAGAGCTTGCTGTTGAGTGGGGGCATGCGTTATATACAAATGCTATTTATTATTATTATTATTATTATTGTCCAATAAATCTCACAACGTGCACAGTTACTCACTTATGCAGTTGTGAGCGCCGTAAAACCTCTACAAAAACAAACAAAAACCAGTCCCCCCAGCCCACTATGTACCGCCACAGTGACGGGTCAACCCACCGTTTTATCATCCATGTCGCTAGGGATCTGGTTGATGTGTAGCTTCAGGTGTTTGATGGCGTTACCCATGCTGGTGCTGATGGGGCGGCACTCATTCAGATATCTGATGTGTGTGAGTGTGTGTGAGTGTGTGTGTGTGTGTGTGTGTGTGTGTGTGTGTGTGTGTGGTGGGGGAAGAGAGAACAAATTGGGATTAGGAGGGGGAGATGAGGGGATGAGTCAGGTAGTGTGCCCACGAAGGGAGGGGGGGGGTGTGAATAAAAATAATAATAGATGTAGAGAAAATAATTATGAAACAGTTGGAGCAAGTGGGTGGTGGGGGTGAATAATGAAAGTTGAGGGTAGAAGAGATGCAGAAAAATGGTGATGAGATTGTTTGAAGAAAAGAGAAGCACAACAACACTACAAGCATTTGTTTAGTGACGGGAAAAGGTCAGATTGACGGGGAAAAAAAAGAGAAACGGGAAAGAAACGAATCAGGAAGTACCAGTAGCATCCGCCAACTGCCCATGCTGATGAGAAACGGGTGTTGTTAAACTTGGAGAAAAATTATGATTTGGAATGAACAGGCAAGCTGAATGAGTTTGACGGTGAAGTCTTGTGATGCTTTTGAGAGATACAGAGCTACAAATAAGCACTTTTTACACACTGGCGAAAAGGAAAACACAGAGAGAGAGAGAGAGAGAGAGAGAGAGAGAGAGATAGAGAGAGGGAGAGAGAGAGAGAGAGACAGACAGAGAGAGACAGACAGAGAGAGACTGAGAGAGACAGACAGACAGTTTTTTAAAGTTTTAGTAAGAGTTTTACGGCACCTACAACACAATAAGATCATATAGATGCTGAAGATTAGAGGCGTTACAAGGAGAGTAACAAACACTAAAATGAAGAAGGGGAAATAAAGGCAATATACGTTTGATAGGAAAGAAGAAGTAAACCACACCAGAGCACCGGCCAACCACCCACTCAGACAGACAGACAGATAGAGAGAAAGACAGACAGACTGACAAACAGACAGACAGACAGACAGAAATGGAGAGACAGAAGGACATGTGGCGGACTACACTCACGAGATGCACGGAGTGAGGTAGTTTTTCTCCAGGTCCCTTGACAACTCTTTCTCCTCTGGCGTTTTGTACTTGCCGATCAGCTGGGAACAGAAAAACAATGGAACACAAAGATAAGAAATAGAGAAATGGCAAATTCCTTGATAAAAGAGAACTGGGAGAGATATAAAATGGGAAATCAGGCGCTCGTCAAAAGAATGAAAGGGAAGAAACCGGCATTTTTCAGCAGGTTTGAGAATTTTTATCTATTTTTTTTTTCATGCCCATTGAAGAACACATTTCCGTGTGGATTTTACAGAAAGTCATCCATTGTCAAGGAAAAAAGTGGACAACTTAGACACTTTATCATTATGATATAGAAAAAAGGCAAGGGGGGAGAGGAAACAGGTCATTTATACAGGTGATCTTCAGACGAAGTTCGACTGTTTACAGAAAAATAATACAATTTAACTTACGAAATTACTAACTTAAAAAAGAAGTGACTAGTTTCGAAAAACAAATAGTATAAATGGGATGTAATATTAAATAAAAATTTTCAAACAAATGAAGAAAACAGATCTACCATTGAAAAATAATTAATTCCAAAAAACAAAATTAATAAAGAGAACTGATGGCAATATAAAGGTCCTTTAACATTAGAAACAAAGCCAAACAACCCACCCTTTGCCAGTTTGTCGCATGAAGAAACAAAAACTAATTTTTTTGTTTCACATGTAAAATTCAACCCACTCAGGTTAGATGGTCTTATCACAAGGGAAGGCAATATCTCGATTCTCTATCCTAGTTGCTGGACACAGGAAATCACACTATCACGGTTTTGGTCTCCAGAGAACAAGAATAATAAACAACTCGAGGCGGCCTGGCCAACAGTCACTCACCTCCTTGAGGGTGGTCAGCAGGGCCAGGCAGCGGGCGTTGGCCCCGACGATGTTGTGGTAGAAGTACTGGTAGCCCAGCCGCACGATGGTGTGGTCCATCTTGTAGGCCTTGCCCCTGACGACACAAAGGCTACAACAACTGACGCGGTGAAAGCGACACGCGTGACAGACGCACGGGACAAGACGCACGCGGCAGATTACTCAACTGGGTTTGTGCGACCTGACCTCTGTTTACTTACACATGCAGTAACAAAGGAAGGAGGAAGCCTGGTGAGTTAAAGGGAACTATACATATTATCTATATTTTGATACCAGACTGCAAGTGTCACATGCTTTTCTTTTTTCAATTAGCTCTCCCTCTCTCCCCCCCCACCCCCTCCCGAAGCTGGTGAGTTAAAAGGAACTATCCATCTTTTTTTTTTATACCAGACTGCAAGTCTCACAACTCTTTCTTTTTTCAACAAGCTCCCCCTTCCCCATAAGCTTACCCTCTTAATTTCACCCACCCCACACCCCAAATGAAACTAACAAAGTTCTTGAGTAAGATCATATGAGTCACGAAGCAGTGGAATCAGGCACTCGTCATTTTTGGGCATGTGGAGTTATTGATATCATCTAAAAGCTTACCCATTTGCATTGCTTTTTATGAAATAAATACCTATTTACCTTGAATAGAATTCAAGATCTTTGCTATTGAAAGAGGTGGGGGTAGCATGGTTTCAGGGTAAAGTAAGAGAGAAAGTTACCAAAATAAGGTAACTTCAATAGCTTGAGAGTCCTTGGAAATTGAATATTTATATATTTTGAGCCATTCAACGTTTTTTAAAGTAAAATTTGCAAGCAATAAATGTGTTTATATATGGAAGAAATGGGTGTTGAGCAAAAAAAACAAAAATACAATAAAAATGGCCAAACGGGCAGAAAAATGCGTTTCTTCAATTTCATTATCTTGACGAGTGCCTGATTTCACCACGATGACTCACATATAGACCTTCAGGTAGCCTCAAGTAACTACAATTTCTATCTCAATCTCTTTGTATTCGGGAGGAGTATACAAAAACTTGATTTTTTTTTTACCCTGCACCAACCTCAACCCATCCCCTTCCTTTTACTAATGACACCCCCCCACTCCCACCCCCTCAACAATTTTACACCTCCTCGTGAGTGTTCACTACTGCTGTACTGGATACATGTTGTGGTCACACGACCCACCACCACACATAACAGTTCAGTTGAGTAAACTGTCGCATAACGTCTCGATTTAAGTTATTCTTACAACTGCATACATAATATAATGAAAGAGGGAAAATGAGAAAAAGAGAGAGAAATGGAGTAATAGAGAGAGAGAAAGAGAGAGAGAGAGAGGGAGAGACAGAGACAGAGAGAGAGACAGAGACACACACAGAGAGAAAGAGAGCGAGAGAGAGAGAGAGAGAGAGAGAGAGAGAGAGAGACAGACAGAGAGAGAGAGTGAGAGAGAGGGAGTGAGAGGGAGTGAGAGAGAGGGAGTGAGAGAGAGGGAGTGAGAGAGAGTGAGTGAGAGACAGAGAGAGAGAAGGAAGAAAAGAGAGAGAGAGAGAGAGAGAGAGAGAAAGGGGGGAAGGGATGGAGAAACAGGGAGGGAGAGAAAGACATTTAACATGATACTATGTATTATGTACGTATATTTTGTGCTGCAGAAGCTAGAAAAAGCATAGTCAATTTCTTTCAAAAGATGATCAATCAAATATTCTCCTAGTTTTTCTCATACATTATACTTTTTACTTCTAACAACACAAAAGGTCGGCAATACAGACTTATGGGCCTCGGTCAGAGAAAGCCTACCTGGGTCTATGAGATGATTATAGCTGTAATTCTCTCAATAAAAGTCAGGGATGCCACTAGGATTTTGTGAACATTCCTGACAATTTTACGAAGGTGCATTTGCAACAACAACAACAACAAAGTTAATAGATAGATATGTAGATACAACTAAAAACAAAACAGGCAACAAATGTTTAGAATAATGACTAATCCTTTAGTGAATATAACACTGACATAAGGGTAAATAATGGGAAAAATTTAGACAGGCAACATCCCTAAAGAGGATGTACGGACAGGCCTGACAAACAGCTCACGGACTACATACAGCAGATTTTTCTCTTTCTTCGCCCACAGCTGTTCCTCGGTCATCTTCTCAGTGGTTTTCGAGGATTTCTTCGGTATTCTCCTCACCGCTACAGCAGCTCCTCCTGGTTTACTTTTCTCCCCTTGATTTTCCTTCTTTCCTGCGTTGGCTGCGATGAAGAATAGATACAGAAAGTTTTTAGTTTTAGTAAGGTTTTACAGCACTCGCAACTGTATAAGGTCATATGAACGCAAAGGGGTGGTGGATGTCAACAGAGAAGTCCAAATGGGGAATCAGGCTTTCTCTGCTCACCTCTCTAGCCTCAATAGCACAAAGTCTTCTTTGACTATCAAGGCACCCCGGAAATAGCAGTTCACAAGAGAGTGACAAACATACAAAAGAAGTAGAAAAAAAACCAATGAAAGAAAGGATGAGGAAAGAAAAAGCAGCAGCTCCCCTTATGTTGTTCCGGAGCAGTATGAGCATGACATTGATAAATCAGCCCATTTACAATTCTACGGTGCATGTTAATATCCCTCCTTTGGGAATGGCCAACAGACACTTCTGTCAGTAGCACTGCACTGGG